AGTGAGATCAAGTTGCAAAGTTGGATCATAGACAGCACGAAAAAACTTAGAACAAATAAAACCACTGAAAATGCTGGAAATAACACACACCTACTCATAATTACATAAGATAGTAATCCATCCCCCAAAATGTAGGAAGTAAAGTGATGGCTTTGTCTCTGACGCTGACCAATAGAGGAGGCATGGGTACATTGTTGTAAGTAAGGCACATTCTATTGGTGAATTGTCACGTGCTGTTGGAACTTACTGAGAAGCTGGCTCTGGAAGTGGGGTTGCCCCCATACCCCACATTTCATAATCAAGTATATTTGTCTCAAAGTATCCTGCTAGGTCCCTAGTCTGGGGATGGGTTGTCTCCCAGCTCTGTGATGAGAGAGAAGAACAGCAAAACAGCCCTAGAGTAAAAACACTATCCTTGAGAACAGCTGGAAAGTAAGACACTTCCAGCAGAGGTACCACTATTTATCCCATGATCTTAAAATGCTCACAGTGGGAAGGAGAAGCTGAAAATTCAGTCTCGGGAGGCTTGGCCACAGAGAGGAAGCTCAAACAGGAACTCCAACTCAACTTCCCCAGGCATTTTCTGGTAGATGCTGTGAGCCGACCTGGTGTTCTGTCATCAGTAGTTGCCATAGATATGTCCTTCCTCATCCTAAACTCAGGACCATGCTGTCATTATCAGCTCCTATCAGAAGAGGCAAATCTCTGCACTTACTAAGCCTATGCCCTCATTTCTTGATACAAATAACGTGGTACCCGGGTCACAGTCCATTGACTTAAATGGATGTGTATAATGATGGCTTTGATTCGATGTGCTTGGTGGCTTGGCATTCTGCAGGCATGGGTGGAGAAACTACTTAGGCATAAGGAGAAGGGACAGCTAATGGCTGAGCATGTACTGCAAATACAGCAAAATAGTTACAAGACAGCAGCCGCCTGCTCTAATGAGGTACAGACCGTCCTCTTGTAAGGATCCTCCCGGAGGGCATGGCTGCAGGTCAGGAAGCCATTTATGGTAATAGATATACATAATGATACAGAAGTAGTCATAAAAGGCCCAATATGTTCAGTGCAAGCACTCGTTCCCACAAAAATGATAAGTAATAACTTTTAGAAAGACACTGGAAGATTGGAGGTGTATTTCTCAGTGGTCGGGCAGCACACTTAAGGACCTGGGTTCAATTCCTAGTACAACAAAGAAAAAAAAAGATGCTTAAAGATCTCCAAGAAACTGCTCACTGCAGGTGCCCACACACCAAAAAACAGTGCTTCTTGGATTTCTGGGCAGCTTGTTTGTTTGTTGTAAATTCTGGATTGGCGTGTGGCTATCCGATGATTGTTTTACCGTGTGAAGACACTAAGGGCTGTGCCAGGCATCGTGGCCGAAGACTTTAGTCTTAGCACAGAGGACGAAGAGGCCAGTGAGTTTGAAGACATCCTTGTCTACATAGCAAATTCTGTGCCAGCCAGGACTACGTAAGACTTTGACTCAAAAAAATAAAATAAAATAGACAAAACCAAAGAAACAAACAAAAACTCTCAAACTCCACCCCAAACACTAAGAAACAAATAAACAAAAGAACTACCATCTACACCCAGATGATAGTGGCTCACGCCACTATCACGGGACGTGGAGACAGGCAGATCTCTGAGTGCAAGGTCAACCTGGTCTACAGAGTGAGTTCCAGGACAGCCAGGGCCTCACAGAGAAACTCTATCTTGGTAAACCAAAAGAACAAAAATCAATCTAACAAGCAAAACCTACCATCACCTCTTTCATTTAAAAAAAAAAAAGGAGATTGTAGCATCAGGGACAGGAGGGTACTTCAAATATTAGAATAAATGTAATTCCTTTAGATTAAATACAGTCACCAAGACGACAGACTTGTGACAACTCATAATTTTTGCATTCCCCTACAATTTCTGGAAGGGTTGTCGAGCCTGGCCAAATGACCCTGCACTTAGGAGCAGCTGTACAAAGGTTCTCAGGCTGTGTACTTGGGGCCAGCATCACTACCTCAGAACCAACCAAAGGCACCGACACCCTGACTCCACCCCCAGCAGGATGAAGCCAAGATCCTGGGCACCAAGCGAGGCTTTTAAGCCCCATAGGTAATCCTGGCATGCCCAAGCTTGAGGGTGATTGCTGCAACCCCTTTCTTCTCATGGATCTCACGGGCCTCCCCAGAAAACCGCCAGGGACAGCTTTCTACCACCTCCCAAAGAAATCTGGTTAACGTGGGTTATGTCCGGTGACTGGAAGCTTCTACAGACTCCTCTGTATGAGTTCTGTTGTCCTGAGCGGCACTGAATGGGTCTTTTCTGTCTCGTTACCTGGCAATACCGGGTGTATTTGATAACTAGTATGGCTCTTCACACCCAGGCAAGCACAGCCAGCACTAACCGCTCCTTATCCGACTCAATATGTAGTCATCTCCTCAGTCCGCCCTGGCTGTCCTCTTATTAATATTTATATTATTGTCATTAGTAGTCATAGATATTAGTATTATTAACTACTATTTATTGACCTAGTATGGAGATGTTCTATAGGCTCTTGAATTCTTTGTACCAGGCCTGGAAGGTGGATCTGTAAGCTCGGAGTTGTAGATACAAAATAAGCTCACATCCAACATTCCTTAGCTTGTGAGTGAACCTGGATTCTACATTCGTTACTGTGGCACCTCAGGGCCTTCTGCTATTTCCATGATAGCAGACTGTCCTGAAATTTCTACCAAAAAAAATCACTAATCTAGGCAAGGCTGAGCCAGGACGCGAGTTGCAGGATTGGGTATATAGCGTAACAGGAACAACATGAGCTCTGGAGTGAAATAGATCCAGGTTGAGTTGTGCCTACGCTATTACTAGCAATGTGGGTGATTTTGAGTGGGTTGCCAATCTCTCCAGGCCTCGGTTTCCTCTTCTGTGAACTGGGGATTTTAATAGCATCCCTCTAATAAAATTGATATGAGCACAAAATAAATCAGCGCTTATGAAGTACTATGCTAGCTAGTTTTATGTCATTTGACCCAAGAAAGAATCACTGGGGATGAGAAGACTCAATTGAGAACATGCTGCCATCAGATTGACCTGTACACTTGTCTGTGGGGCGTTTTCCTGATTGGTGATTGATGTGGATAGGTGGTCCTGGATGCTGCATCCTGAGAAAGCGCCTCTCCGTGGCTTCCACCTCAGTTCCTGCCTCTAGGCTCCTTCCTTGGGTTCTTGCCCTGCCTTCCCTCCTTGAGGTGCTGTGATGTGAAACCGTAAGCTAAAACAAACCCTCAAGTACAGAACAAGAACTCGACATAAGACCTGCTAGCACTCCTGCCTGTGCGTTCTCAGCGGTTACATAACGATTGCATAGATGGGCAGGTCCAGACACATGCACATTACAGCAACCTAAACTCTCCTTTGCCCTCACTGGACACCCGCCTGTGTCTGGCCCCGGGACTCTTCAGCACACCGATAGTGAACTCCCTGACCCCGTGGCTCTCTTGGCAAGCCAGCCTCCATGTGTGCAGGCTCATCTTCCTAAAACCCACCGCTAACGCGCCATCCTCAAATGAAGTCCCAAGTTTCTTCTCTTGCCTTCCTAAGGTCGTTATACCACGCAGCCCAGTTCTCCCCCTACTCTATTCCCAGTGCTGTGAGATGTGTCCTGTGGTGTCAGGTGGACACCTGCCTTCCTGCTTAGCTCAGATGGGCTCTTTTTATCCCAAAAGCCACTCCTCCCCACCTCCTCCCACTCTTTAGCCCCAAGGTCTTTCTAAACATTTTCTCCCCCCCCAGGAGTAAGAAAAACATTATGTTGTAAAAGAGAGAGGAGTTGGCGGTAGGATCTAGGTAAGGCGGGCATTGCAGCGGCCTTGGGACAGGGCAGGTAGTTGTGCAACAGGGCGGGAAAATGAAGCAGCTGGAACTCTTCTTTCATGCATGGGCCCAGACCTGCCCACGCTATGTATTAAATATAATTGCTGAACATGTAGAGTCAGTAGCGGTAACAGATCTCGGTGGAGAGCTTGCTGAGTACCGGGTCCATTGTTAAGTGCTTTATAAACACTAATTCATTCTGTGTTCCCAGCAGCCTGATGAGAGGGTGACTGCTATTATCCCCATTGTACGGAGGAGGAAATTGAGACCCAGAGAAAGCGGCGACACACTCCCGGCCACATCGTTAGTCATTGTTCAGAAGATTCAACCCAGATTTGTTTGTCTGAGGCTCATGTTCATACCCATTAGTTTTCCTGCCACTCCCAAGGAGATGCGGCCAACGGATCCTCTTTAATTCACTTGATCTTTAGTTCTTGGCTTATCATGAAGTTATGAAAAGAGCTTGGATTTCGCCAGTAGAAAGATGTAGGCTCAAATTCCCAGTCTCCCTCTTATCAGCATATCATGCCCACAAGACTGAATGTCCTCATCAGCAAGTGGGGATAGTAAATCTCCTTGTCATCATATCTGTGGAGACAGGATGAGGCCAAGGAATCCAAGGTCCTTGCTTGGAGCCTGGTTCCCAGCTGGTTCTCTGCTTTCTGTCCCCCGTTCCCTTCTCCCGTGTGACATGGTTTGCCGAGATCAATGACTTTTAACATAGTCACGGTTGTGCCTCGCAGTGCTTAGTGCAGTGTTTATAGATGTGCAGAGGCACACGGGACGAGACTGTCGCTTCCTGGCTAAGGGGTCTCTGCTTAGTCTTTTCCCATATACCTTTTCTTAAGTTATGATGGCAAAACTAAATCTCCCTTCCACCCGAGCCCTTCTTTCCCCACTTTCAACAACATTTGTTGCTCTCTCTGTGTGTTCAGTGGGGCTACCAGGAGCTGGGCTGTCAGGGTGTTTGAATTTTGGCTCACAGTAAAGAAACACAGCCTCGCCCTGGTCTTGTAGCTAGAGCTACGCTGCCAGCGTTGGGTGTAGGCAGTTTGGCACAGTTGGAGATTATTAGATAGTAATAGTTAATAAAAGTCTTTCCCCACACCGCTTCCCAACTCTCTCCTCTTCTTAGCACTGTGGCCATGAAATGAGGACAGGTGAGACTCCACAGTTGTGGTTGGCGTGATAGTGTGACTATAATTGGCCCCTATGAGTGCATAGGGAGTGGCACTGTTAGGAGGTGTGGCTTTGTTGGAATGGGTATGGCCTTGCCGGAAGGGTGTCACTGTGGGGGTGGGCTTTGAGGTTTCCTATGCTCAGGATACGGTTGAAAGTCTTAATCAACTTCCTGTTCCTTTCTGATCAAGATGTAGCCAGCACCACACCTGCCTGGGTGTTGCATGAGGATAATGGACTGAACCTCTGAAACTGTAAGCAGGTCACCCCAATTAAATGTTTTCTTTCTATGGAGAGTTGCCGTGGTCACGGTGTCTCTTTATAGGAATAAAAACCCCAACTAAGATAGCTGTGTACAAGCTTGTCTCATTTTGCTTAGCCTGATTACTTTTTGTTTTATTGGTCTTTTGGTTTATGTTTTTGTTGGGTTGCTTTTTGTGTGCTTCTTGGTTTTTGTTTATTTTTTTTTTAAAGAGAGTAAGGTCACGGGATTGGGTGGGAAGGGAGGTAGAGAGAATCTTGGAGGAACTGGGGGAGGGAAAAAACATGATCAAAATACACTGTATAAATAATTTTTTTTTAAAAAAAAGTAAAAAGCTTTTTTCACTTTTTTTTAGATGATCAAATTTTATTTGTGTGGGTCGTTTGCAGACAGTGCCTTCAGAGGGCAGAAGAGGGCGTCGGAGTCTCTGGAACTGGAGTTACAGCTGGTTGTAAGCCACCAAAAGGGTGGCAGGAACCAACCTTGTCCTCTACCAGGGGCACAAGTGTCCTTAACTGCTGAGCCATCTCCCCAGACCTTAAAAAAAGAAAAATAAAAAATCCCTTCTATTGATAAAGAATTTTTTGTGTCACAAATTCCCCATGCAAAGAGTATGATTCAGTAACGGCCGTGCAGCTGTCACCGTCTCTGTTCTAGGGTACGTCTATGCTCGCAATAAGCTGACTTGCTTATCTTCATCAGACAGGCTGAGCTAGTCAGTACCTTCCCTAAAGCTGAGCCGGGTCCTCCTCACCCGCTCAGTGACAGTGCTGAACTCGTGGCTAGGATGACAGACTTGAGGAATGCCTTGTGAACAGGCATCTTAATTAGACCGTTGAAGTTCACTTGATGAATGGCTTGACACAAGAGGGCAGCCCCCGGGGAGACTCTTTAAAGGAAACCGGAGCTCTCTGCTGCCTGGGTGTGGCTCCTGCTGCAAGATGGGGCTGGCCTTCTCCATCACCCTGTCTTCGGAAGAGCTCCTGCTGCAACAGCGCCTGCCACCTACCCCACCTGCCCTTGTCCCCACGTTCTGTCTCTCTAGAGGGGCTCTGAGGGGACCTTGCTCTTGCCTTTGGCCCCCATTTCTCCATTTCTTTATCCATTGCTTTCCTCCTTTGGCCCCAGGGCTCTCTCTCAACTGCCAGTTCTACATCACCTGTGACTTTAGAGTGACCACACCTAACGGCTTTTATAGTCTTCCAACCTGGTGGCTGAGCCTCTCCCTCTCTTCCTTGAATCCCACCCTCTCTGTGCTGTGTCCTGGGGCCTCCTTCACTGTCTGGCTCTTGAGTCTCTCACCTTGCTCTGCTTCCGCCCCTATGTCTAGCTGTAGTAGTGCTGCAGGCTCCCTCCTTGACCCATTGGTCTCCGGATGCTTGATACCCCATCCCCAGGGTAAGCCCACTGGTCACGGTGGCAGAGGCTGTAAGGCAAGGAGAACTGGTTTTCAGCCAAGCGGCCTTGGTGCTGACCTTCCAGTACTGTGGCATTGCGTGGGACTCTGCTGTTGGCCTTGTGTTCTGAGATGAGCTGGTTTCAGTCAGCATAGCTTCTGACCTTGAGGTTAGAGACATCGAGGTACAGTCCCCTCTCTGAGCCACTGCCCTATGACCTACAATTTTGTGATCCCAGGGTGGTTTTTCTATATAAAAAGGTGGGGTGTAGCTTGAAGTACTTTCCATCCCGCTGGTCCCCCTGGACCGGTTTTTTCTCTGCCCACCTATTCCGGAAGCTGCTTATGAAATAATCACTCTGAGTTTTATGATCAGCATAATTGTTTGGCCAGTGTCTTAGGCTTCTTACTGGCTAGCTCTAACTATTAAATTAACCCATTTCTATTAACCTGTGTATTGCCACGAGGCTGTGGCTTACTGGTGTGGCATGTTACTCCTTCAGCGGCTATATGGCATTTCTTTGACTCTGCCTAATATCTCTCTGTTTGGATTACCCACCTGACTTTACTCTGCTAAGTCATTGGCTACAACAGCTTAATTCATCAACCAATAAAAGCAACACACATACAGAAGGACATCCCACATCAGTGGGGTTTTCATTTGTTTTGGAATGTGTGTGTGTGTGTGTGTGTGTGTGTCTGTGTGTCTGTGTGTGTGTCTGTGTGTATCTGTGTCTGTGTTTGAATTTGGCCAATCATTCCCATTCGGGGAGATGAGGAGAGCCTCAGGACAGAGCTCCCAGGAGGAAAAATTGGGAGGTCTGACAGGGAACCAAGGGTGGAATGGAGACGGCTAAGGGCAAAGCCAATCCTGGCCCAGCCTCAGGGGCCAGGAGGCCTCAGATCATAGAACTTCGGGGATAGCCAGCAAAGTGAAGCCTGGAAAGTTCTCAGCATGCATGCTTGCATGCATGAGCACGCGAGTGCGTGCGCGTGTGCGCATGTACATACACATACACACACTCAAAGAAAGGCTGCCTTAGCTAGGGAGGCTTGTAACCCCACCTCCATGACCCTTCACAGGGGAAATAGATATGATGATCTCTCACGGCATCTGTGGAATACAAAAACCCTAAACTGGAGCGCTCCCATGACCCCTGTACTGCCCTCCCCCCCAGCCCCAGACAGATTTGCTACTGGTGGCCCTGGAGGAGGGTCTTTGATCCTATCAACTGGTCACGACCCAGGTCAAGACACCAGAGAGTCTTGACAGAAGACTAAGAGGCCGAGAGTGGCTGGAGCGGATTCCCCTGTGCTTCTGCAGCATATAAGGAGAAAGCGTCCACCTGGAAGGTGAGCCAGTTAGACTGTCATTATGTTGGACAGCCATCACCAGTGTCTTCATGACAACAGAGGGGTCTGGCTGAGGAGCAGAGCTGCTAGCTCCCACCTGGACCTGTAAGCCTCAGCTATACAAATCTTCCAAGGGTTCAGGAAAGGGCTCAATCATATTACCTAGTGGCTGTGTGATGTTCTCACATGGCTCTCTAGACTTTGTGTTGGGGACAGTCAAATGAGTATGAATGACAGTCACACCTAGCTGGGAGCCACAAAAAAGGAGCCTTGTCCGTGGACAAGTAGGCTAGGGCCATCACTACCACTGATCACAGGAAATGTCATTCAAGCTTGGCTCTGTACTAAAACCTTAACCCAGACACTGGCAGGTACAAATGAAAGCAAGGTCCTTCCCATGAGAAGGCAGCCATTTGTAAGCCAGGAAGCAGGCATATCCACTGACACCTTTACCTTGACTTCCTAGCCTCCAGAACTGTGGGAAGGAGGTTTATAAGTCACCCACTGTGTGGTGTTTTTGCTATAGCAGCTTGAACACAGCATCACAGGCTTGGACTGTGCAAATCTTGGGTTTTTTTGGTTGTTGTTGTCTTTGTTTTATTTTTGCTTTGCCCACAGGCTCAACAATGAGTTTGTACACAAGCTCAAAAGAGAGAGAAGGCGTCAGAGGGAGGGAGAAAGGGAGAGAGGAGAGAGAGAGAGAGAGAGAGAGAGAGAGAGAGAGAGAGAGGTATTCAGCTGTCAGTTTGATGAGGGATGAGACATTTATTCCTTCCTGTCTACATCCTGAGGACGTCCATGTGATCCCCTCCGCTGAAAGCATCATCCAGCATATCCAGCATCTTCCTTCTATGTGGTCCCCTCCCCTGAGAGCATCATCCAGCATCTTCCTTTTGTGTGATCCCCTCCCCTGGGAACATCACCCAGCATCTTCCCTCCATGTGATCTCCTCCCCTGGGAGCATCACCCAGCATCTTCGGTGAAGTAGTAACTTCACTGGCAGCATCTGGGTGGGTCCAGACTTCATATTTCCAAGGGCTTGCAGGACTTCCTCCAGCCTCAGTGCCACCAGCACCAGGCACACAACTCCCTTCACAAGGACTGACTGCCATGCCTTGGGCCCCTCCTCCAAAGCTTGCTTTTTGTGACTTCTGCTTTCTTCCCAGCCCCGCATAGACCTCGGGAGTGGAGGGTCTTCTCCACTGTTTTCTTTGTGACCTTTCAGCTACGGAGTTAACAATTTCAACTCAGCTGGAGTTTCTCTCTCACACATTCTCTGTTAATGTGATTGGACCTTGACTAATATGCTTTATGATATGCCAATTTAACAATAAAAAGAATATCCATTCCAGCTCTGAATTCCTGGAGGGCAGCCACTAGGTCACTGGAATGAGTCTAACATCCATTAGTAAGAGCTTGGTGCAATGTAGTGTGTGTGTGTGTGTGTGTGTGAGAGAGAGAGAGAGAGAGAGAGAGAGAGAGAGAGAGTATGCGCGTGCGTGTGCATGCGGGCATAAAGCACAAAGCCATTATAAACATTAACCTTCAGGCTAGGCTGCAAAAGGGCCTTGTTATTAAATATTTGCTGGTTGAATGGAACACACATTTTTAGCTTCTTAGAGGTGGCAAGGAATGAAAAGTTCAAACTTTAGAACCAACAGGACTTGGCTCTAGCCTCTGTCCTCCCACATCTCAGGCAAGTTTCTCCACTTTCTCTATCGAAGGCGGTGCCGGCGGCCAGGAACAGGTGACAGAGCTGTTGGGTGGCTGCCAGGGCTCAGTGTGTTAAAAGGACGCTAAGTTGAGCTTCTAATCAGGTTCCAGATGAGAAGAACAAGAGGTGCGTGGTAACTTAGGGAGATTAAATTATCCATGGAGATGAGAAAAATGGGAGGTCAGCTTCGATGAAGCAGAGATAAGGAGTGAGCCAAGGCTAAAGGCTTCTCTGAGGAGGTTCTTCACTGACAGGGGCTTTTGAGATAGTTGGTAACCACCGCGAGTCAATCGATGCACAAATCCCAGCCCTGTCTATCAGGCCCTGTACTGGGGACAGAGACGAAGAAGTGAGAACTTTTGTTTTCAGAAACTCAGTAAGTACATCCAGCGTGAGTCTGCTGAGGGATGATGGGGTGCTGTGCCCCAGGATGGTGGACAAAGATGGGTTACAGCTGGCTTCAGGAGGCCGGGGAGCTGGCTTCACGGTTAAGAGCACTTGCAGCTCTTCTGGGAAAGCCTAGATTGATTCTCAGCATCCACTTGATGGCTACAACTCCAGCTCCATGGGATCTGACGCCGTCTTCTGGCCTCCAGAGACACTAGTCATGCATGTGCTCCATAGACATATATGCAGGCAAACCAACCATACCTATTTTAAAAAATAATAATAATTACAGAAAAATAAAACAGTCAGCAGTTCAGAAGTCAGTAAGGGGCAAGTGACACCAAGAGCCAGGACCTAGACCTGGGAGCTCACCTCTAACAGCTTCCTGTCTTTCTCACTTTCCACTCCACCCCATTCCCTGAAAGCTTCCTGCCACCCTGTTCATGCCATTAACTCTCAGCTCTGCCCCCAGAATGAACTGAGCTGTAGAGAAGAAACATACGGTTTCCGTTCAAATCCTATTCTTCCACTTGCTACTCATGGGACCTTGAGCCAGCCTAAACCAGACTAACATCCTGGACTGCTCATCTGCCCCCCAGGGGTTGTGGGGAGAGCCAAGTGGGATGATGGCTGCTGCACCATTTATTTCTTCTGAAATCTGGTTAGTCACTTTATTGCTCAGGAAACTCAGGGAAGAGTCCTGCTGGTTTGAAGCATGGTGCGCTCTGTC